CCCAAGAAGACTTTCCACATCAAGCAGATGTTCACCTGCACATCTGCTAATGTGGTATACTGCATCCGCTGTTTCCGTTGTGGCCTCCTCTACATCGGGGAAACCAAGTGGAGGCTTGGGGACCGCTTTGCAGAACACCTACGCTCAGTTCGCACTAAACAACTGCACCTCCCAGTCGCGAACCATTTCAACTCCCCCTGCCATTCCTCAGACGACATGTCCATCCTGGGCCTCCTGCAGTGCCACAACAATGCTACTCAAAGGCTGCAGGAACAGCAACTCATATTCCACTTGGGAACCCTGCAGCCCAATGGTATCAATGTGGACTTCACATGCTTCAAAATCTCCCCTCCCCCGACCGCATCCCAAAACCAGCCCAGCTCGTCCCCGCCTCCCTAACCTGTCCTTCCTCCCATCTATCCCCTCCGCCCACCTCAAGCCCCACCCCCATCTCCTACCTACTAACCTCATCCTGCCCCCTTGACCTGTCCGTCCTCCCTGGACTGACCTATCTCCTCCCTACCTCCCCACCTACACTCAACTTTACTGGCTCCATCCCCGCCTCTTTGACCTGTCTGTTTCTTCTCCACCTATCTTTTCTATCCATCTTCTATCCGCCTCCCCCTCTCTCCCTATTTATTTCAGAACCCCCTTCCCCTCCCCCATTTCTGAAGAAGGGTCTAGGCCCGAAACGTCAGCCTTCCTGCTCCTCTGATGCTGCTTGACCTGCTGTGTTCATCCAGCTCTACACCTTGTTACCCTTTTGGTGCCACCTGGTTTCCAGTAACATCCCTTGGCAATGTTATGCCAGCATTATTGTGTGTGTTATGAATGCGGGTTTTTTTTTGTTTGGCTACCCCTGATTTATTCGCCTGAGACGTTTGACCTATTAATCTCGCCTGTCTTCTTTCAGGCAGTGACCTTGAGATCTGTCACCTTCATCGGTGATGAGAATATTGTAACCATTCTCTCAAAACGCCTTGTAAATCGTCCGTGGGCAATTTAATTGAAAAAGGTTTCCGTCTCGAATGTCTTTTGAAAATTAATTATTAAAAGGCAGCAAATGTATGTTTGGGCAGTTGCAACAGTTGCTCAGGGGATTGAGTTCTGACACATCTGTGAATATTTTTTGAAGCAAATGATATTTCACATTGGCATCCCAGTGCCAGGAAGCGAAGAAGTTAGCCAAGTTCCCCATTTCCAATCATGTTCTTTGCAACATATGAAATGTTGTGAAGGTTGCATTTGGAAGATTACTGAAGGTTCAGTCAGAGCCAGGCAAACAGCTTGCTGACATTAGGGGCAGTATTTTTCATTTGTTTGGGTTGCGACCCTGGGCATTGGGTTCATAAACTTGTGTAGTGTGGAGAGCAATCTCTCAGTCGGCATTTCCCTGGATGTGGCTGAATGTTGGAGGGAGCTGTCAAATCTGGAGGGCCAATAGGAGGATCTCCAACAGTGAAGAAGTAGCTTGCAGTTCAACTAAGAGGCGGTGGGGGGAGAGGGGGGCATTATCTCCATTTTGAATTGACCTCCATGTGCAAACTGATGAAGGGTCTAGGCCCGAAACGTCAGCCTCTCTGCTCCTATGATGCTGCTTGGCCTGCTGTGTTCATCCAGCCCTGCACCTTGTTGTCTAGCAAGAGTAGCCCATTCAGCCTCTCAGATCTGCTCAGCCATTCACTGAAATCACGGCTGATCAGATTGTAACTTCAAATCCGCATTCCTATCTTCTCTGGCAACCTTTTATCGCCTTGCCCCCTTGCTCACCCAGAATCTATCCACCTCTCCCTTTTAAAAAAAAAAAGGTCTCTGCTTCCGTCACCTTTTCAGGAACAGAACTTCAAAGTTTCCTGATCCCCTTCGAGAAAAGAATTTTGCCTCATCCCTTTCTGAAATGAGAGAGCCGTTATTTTTAAACATTGATGAATAGTTCTAGATTCTCCCATCAGAGGAAACATCCTCTCCACATCGACTTTGTCAAGACCACTCAGAATCTTATATCTTCCAGTCAAGTCACCATCTGCTCTTCTGAACCCTCTCCAACCATGTAAAAAAAAAATTGGAAGGTGCTATCTTTGTGGATGGTATGTACCTTTGACAGGGTGACTTGCAGCTGTATCCAGGTAGGTATGGAGTCCCAAAGGTATCTAATCTAATCCTTTATATCCTGGGACCCTTGAGTTTAAGTAAAAATGTCCAATAGGCCCCTGTTAGTAGGTCCGTAATAGCCTGGGAAAGATCATTTTAATGATTTTGGGGAGCTGATGACCTCGT